ATAAGCATGCCATGACGCAGTCATAGTCGCGAGGGCCAGGTCGACCAGATTTCGTGGGAAGCACTGCGACATGATCTTCCGCGGCCCGCCCGCGCTGGTTGACAAACCGCGCTTCGCGCGACGAGATGTCCGAATCGCTTGAGACAGACAGCGTTGCGCAATGCATGAGAGCGAGGCTTCTCTCGCCAGCAGACCGCCGACCCACAGTGCCAGATGCGCTCGGCATGTCGCAGGGGGCATCGGTCGGCAGATCCGCGAGGGTTCTGCAAGATGATATAAACTGAGGAGGCAGCCTATGAGGAGAGGGGTGCGCGCTTGTTTGAATAATCAGCTGGACATTGGAAGTCTCGCAGGGTCGCCGTGGCCATGAGCACTGCTCGACGTCAGTTTCGGACCTCCTTTCCATTGGAGCCGCGAGAGTGGCCCGATGGGGCGGAGAACGGCTCATGCGTTGTCCTCGGAAGCCTTGCCCTCGCAAGTTTTGCGCGCCAGCAGGAACGTATCGGTTGCGGATTCGTGAAGGGTGGGAGAAAGGGGGGCTGCTATCCTGGAATTCAATGTGCTTCAACGCCTCAGACGTGCTCGCGCGACTCACGGCCTGCGGCTGAAGAACATGAGCAACGCTATCGCGAGTGGCGAGGGGCGCTCGCGGGCGTCGCTGTGCAGGAACCCGCCATTCCATAGGATCGCCGTCCTTGCCGCGTCCATTATCGGGAGGTCGTCGCGTCTTAACCTACAAGGGGGGGGGGGGGGCGGGGGATTCGCGCCCGGTCGCAATCCGCGGCAGAGGGGGCTCATGGGGGGGCCATTCGTTGCTCAGGCATTTAATGGTACCTTCAGGCCCCCAGAAGTTGAGTGGAGTAACGACGCGCGTAACTCGACCCGCGCAGCATTGAGGCGGTGGCCTCCCGGTGTGGGCGGCGTGTTGGCTTCTATCGGTCGGGGTGCGCCTGCGACATCCATGATTCTGCCATGACAGACTTCGATTCAACTGCACAGGGGCTCGCGCGGAATATTAAGCGACGGGGTGGACTTTTGAACGCGTTGCCTCGAGTTCCGAGGGCGCGACCAGATCGCGTCCAAGTTGGAATTCAAGCAGCGCATCAGTCGAAGGGGGAGTGGGCGTCGGGGGCTCCGCGAGGGAACGCGCTCGGCATCTGGGGCCCCGCGCTGCTCTTCTGGACAGTGCTCGTCGCGGAAACGATCGGCGAATTTTGGCGGCACGGGTTTCGTCTCGCTCTCTGGTGCTCGCTCGGGCAGGCAGATGCACCGTGGAAATTCCATCGGTTGCACCTGCGGGGCTTCGTGTCCAACTCTCTACTCAGCGGCCTCGGGCCTTAGCGCTCGCGACGAGCGACTGCGCCGTGCTGGCGGCTGCATTCGCGCGCCCCTGTCGCATTGCAGTGGCAGGGCAGGTCGCGGACTGGGGCGGTTGCCATCTTCGTGCTGCACCTAGTCGTGAACTGCTTGGGACTTGGAAGTCTCCGGGGCTCTCTTGGAATCAAGTCTGCGGCGGCTTCGCCTGGTTCAGGCCTGCGCCAACAGGCCCGCCCGCCGCCTCCACGTCCCCGTAGCTTTATTCGGGGAGCTGCCGTTGGGGCGGGAGGTCCTCTACTTCTTCCGGGGGGCCTCGGCCCGCGCCGCGCGTGCCCCTGGGCCCCCCAGCAGGAAGAGGACGCTCTCTGTCTCGCCGAAGGGCTGAACGAGGAAACATTTTGCGCTGTTGCCAGGGATTTCAGGTTGCTCATGGGCCGATCGACCGCCTTTTTCCCTGCTGGTGTTGATGTCTCTGCTGATAGATCGAGGGGGCGCGCCCTCGCCGCGCCCCCTCCCGCGCCTGCTTCGCCCATGCCGCGTGCGCCTGGCGGGCCCGGGGAGGAAGTGCCGAGTGCTGGCTTTGGCGGGAAGTGCTGGCTCCGCGCTGAGCAACGTTGATATGAACTATGCGATGCTGTTTTTTTGAATGCGCCGATGTTTCCTGCGCCGCCTCAGAGGCGCGCGCGGGCTCGGAAGCATGGGCTATCTTATCGCGCCTGTCGATATTTGCGCATTGTCGCCAGATTTTTGCTTGTCGTGCAAATTTTGCTCGCCGCGCTACGGGGTCCATGCTCCGAGGCCGCCGCGACGCTCGCGCCCCCTCGTCTCCTCGAGAGCTTGTGCTCGTCCACTCTCGCGCTTGTTCCAACTGCGAGTTTGGCGGCTCGGGCCCGGGCGACCTGCGCGATTGTCTCTGCGTGCGTCTGTCAGTTCGACCGCGACCTGTCGCCGAGCGTGCCTGACGGGGCGGGCCTGTCAGCGGCAGCCGCGGCGCCGCCGTCCCGGCGGCGCCGCGTGGGTGGCGCCGAGAGGAAGGGCCGGGAAGGATGCGTTGACGGAGGAGAGGGGGGAAACGCGAGGGCGGCAATGGCGACGCGGGCCACGCCGGCGCCTCCGGGGGCAAAGGCGCCATCGCCGACGCCCGCCTCGCCGCGGCGATCGCCGGGTGCGCGGCCGACATCGAGGGCGCTGTGCACGCGCGGAACTCAATGCCGGACGCGTTGGGTGGCTCGGCGGGGCTTCGCAAGGCGGCGGGCGCGAGCGGCGACGGGGCGCGCCAGGAGCCGGAGAAGCCGCGTGTCGAGGGCGGCGAGGCGATAGACTTCAAGGCTCGCGCCCCCCCCCTCCCGAGTCATGAACACTATAGCGCCCGGTTCTCCGGAGGGTCTCCCGGGGTTCTCCGGGTTCTCCGGATTCTCCGGGTTCTCCGGGTTCTCCGGGTTCTCCGGCCGGGTTCTCCGGGTTCTCCGGGTTCTCCGGGTTCTCCGGGTTCTCCGGGTTGGGTTCTCCGGGGGTCCTCCGGGGGTTCTCCGGGTTCTCCGGTGTCTCCGGGTTCTCCGGGTTCTCCGGGTTCTCCGGGTTCTCCGGGTTCTCCGGGTTCTCCGGGTTCTCCGGGTTCTCCGAGGGTTCTCCTGGAGTTCTCCGAGGGTTCTCCGGATTCTCCGGGTTATCCGAGGGTTCTCCGGGTCCTCCGGGTTCTCCGGGTTCTCTGGGTTCTCCGGTTCTCCGGGTTCTCCGGGTTCTCCGGGTTCTCCTGGGTTCTCCGGGTTCTCCGGGTTTTCCGGGTTCTCCAGATTCTCCGGGTTCTCCGGGTTCTCCGGGTTCTCCGGGTTCTCCGGGTTCTCCGGGTTCTCCGGGTTCTCCGGGGGTTCTCCGGGTTCTCCAGATTCTCCGGGTTCTCCGGGTTCTCCGGGTTCTCCGGGTTCTCCGGGTTCTCCAGGTTCTCCGGGTTCTCCGGGTTCTCCGGGTTCTCCGGGGGATCTCCGGGGTTTCCCCGGGGTTTCTCCGGGTTCTCCGGATTCTCCAGGTTCTCCGGGTTCTCCGGGTTTTCCGGCCAGGTTCTCCGGGTTCTCCGGGTTCTCCGAGGGTTCTCCGAGGGTTCTCCGGAGGGTCTCTGGGAGTTCTCCGGGTTCTCCGGATTCTCCGGGTTCTCCGGGTTCTCCGGGTTCTCCGGGTTCTCCGGGTTCTCCGGGTTCTCCGGGGGTTCTCCGGGGGTTCTCCGGGTTCTCCGGATTCTCCGGGTTCTCCGGGTTCTCCGGGTTCTCCGGCCGGGTTCTCCGGGGTCTCCGGGTTCTCCGGGTTCTCCGAGGGGTCTCCGGAAGGTTTCCGGGAGTTCTCCGGGTTCTCAGGATTCTCCGGGTTCTCCGGGTTCTCCGGGTTCTCCGGGTTCTCCGGGTTCTCCGGGTTCTCCGGGTTCTCCGGGTTCTCCGGGTTTTCCGAAGGTTCTCCGGGGGTTCTCTGGGGGTTCTCCGGGTTCTCCAGATTCTCCGGGTTCTCCGGGTTCTCCGGGTTCTCCGGGTTCTCCGGGTTCTCCGGGTTCTCCGGGTTCTCTGGGGGTTCTCCGGGGGTTCTCCGGGGGTTCTCCGGATTCTCTGGATTCTCCGGGTTCTCCGGGTTCTCCGGGTTCTCCGGCCGGGTTCTCCGGGTTCTCCGGGTTCTCCGGGTTCTCTGGGTTCTCCGGGTTCTCCGAGGGTTTTCCGGAGGGTCTCCGGGGGTTCTCCGGGTTCTCCGGATTCTCCGGGTTCTCCGGGTTCTCCGGGTTCTCCGGGTTCTCCGGGTTCTC